TTAATATATATCCTTGATATATTCAAACTGAAAAGACCTTCAGCAATTTGTGATTTAGCTTAAGCACAGTCTATGATTCACCAAAATCCCAACTATCTTTTAACTTGTTGAGAGCTCAGCACTTAAGTAAACTCTTTGTAACTTATTGATTAAATATAATCAATTAAAATGAAGCAGGTATCTTTAGTTTGGCAGCACTTTCTGGTCGCCCTCGGCAATCAAAAAGTTTCTGCTTTCTTATTCATTTATCACACGCTCAAATATAATTTTGGGTGACCCACATCCACAGCTGGACCAATTAAAACCGCTGCTCAAATACGTGCCACAGCTCCGGGGGCGCCAAAGCCACAGTTGACCAACATACCACACTTGATAAGCCGCAAGAGCTGTCGAGGAGCCAAGCCAAGGCCAGTGAGGGAGAAAAAAAAGTATTTTAAATTTCATATGGTTTGGACTCGGCTCATTAGCAAATCAAATTTATACAAGACACGAGAGATATTTCTGGCCAGCTCAGCAGTTCGAAGAGTAACCCAACCACCCAACTGACGAACCAGCCGTGGTTGACCACACGAAACTTTTTGGACTGTAGGCAAAATTGACAGGAAAAGTGAAACTTGCCTTTGATTTGTGGCCATGCCATGGAAAAGTGCCTCAGCCGACAAGTTTTTGGGATTCATTTGGGTTTTGGATAATTGGAAACCGCGCTGACAGCTTGCCCTCAGCTCTCTCGCTCTCTTGAGTGTGTGTGTGTGGGTGGGTGAGTTACATACATACACACACAAACAGACATTTGTATGGCTGTTAACCTATATAGCAACACCAATTGACACCAAGGCAAACATGTGGCGCAATCTACTTAATTTGTAGTAAGGCCACTTTTTTGGCCTATATAATTATCGAACTTGTTTGTCATACTCAAATAATATAGTGTGTGTCAGCACAAATCATAATTTCCGAATTGTTCTATACGAAATAGCCTGAAAATTAATTAACGAATCTATAGCAAACACATGTTACATCATCTGCTTTCATTCACATGGCCAAATTATTCACATTCATTAATTGAAATTTGAATTTTCAATGAAATTTGAATTTTCACGAGTTCATATAGCATATATCATATCCAGCATATATAATCTATCCAAAGAGAGGTAAATGATTTGATTGTAATCTCAATCTGCCGCTAATTTCAGCACATTCATAGCTGTCTGCTCGACTGGGCTGGACAGCCTATGTATATACAGTTATCAAGTTCGCTGCTCGACTAGTTCTAGTGTGCACTCCTAATTTATCTAGATACATATATCTATTACACAATCCAGGCTAGAGCGGGCCACTTCAATTCACTTCCGTTACGATTTTGCTGACTTCCGTTTGCACATTTACGCCAGTGTTGGCAGCGCGAGCGCGTCTAATAGAAAACTGTTCACACGTGCTGCAAATTACACAGTTTGAAATCCCAACCACTCGACTAGCCCAACATACAAAGCAGATCCCGCACACACACACACACACACACATACAGGCAGACACACAGTCCGTGCGGTCAATAAATGTAAATAAAATGGACGCGAATGCCTATCCCAAGCGCCACGCCCCATTTGTCGGCGGTTATCTGAGCAAAAACTGGGCAGGCAGACAGCAAGAGGGAGAGACAAAAAGGGAGAGACAAAAAAGAGAAGGCAGCTTTTATAGAAATTGCATAGTGAAAATTGTAACAAAATTATGCAGGTAATTTATGTATTTGTTGTTGTTGTTTTCTTTCTGTGGTTCCATTTTTCCATTATTTTTTTTTCGCTGCGCATTTATCGATTTTCGCCCGTGTGAAAATTAAATTCCCATTTGAAGCTGCTCCAGCCCGACTATAAAGTTTTGTTAGACGTCCCTCCTCCGGCTCCCATGCGCGCCGTCCGACCGAAATTGAATTGAAGCGCGCTGTATAAATCAGCGGCTCAATAAAATCTAATAGTCCCGGGCAGATTGCGGCTCGGCACGCACCCAAAAAAAAACAAAAAACAAAAAACAAAAACAACAAAAAACCTCAATGAGAGTCGCGCTGGCTGGAACTTTGGGTACGAGCACATA